TATATATATACATATCCAATTTAAAAAATACTAATTAAATCCTACACTTACCTGTCCATCTCTGCGATTTCTGTCCGCACTGCCACCGTTGTTAGAATCCCTGCTGTACGATGAGTGATGTCCACCTCCCCTGTGTCCTCCCTGCGATCCCCTGTCCCAGGAAGAGTCCTGTTGCCAGCGCGTGTCTGTAAAACAACGTATAGTCGTGGGTGCGGGGTGCCTGTGGGCAATGCTGCTGTCTTATTCGGTTGTTTTGGCATGACCACGCGTCGCGGTGGGCCCGCTTACTAGGGGATGCTAGCCTGGAGGCAGAGGTCTCGCTGTTACGAATGCACACACAAAACTACAAGGTTTTACACTGAGAGTATAAGAGCAAACATTAGGTGTAGGACATTGTAATGACTATGATAATTCTGTCAGAGAACTGATATTGGGATATATTATCCGTCCTCGCTCACATGCACGCCCACGCACGCACGCACACACACACATACACATGCACGCACGCGCGTACACGCAAGCACACCCACACGCATACGTATATGCATGTACACACAATTGCATACACACGCGCGCACGCATGCACGCACGCACGCACGCACTGTGGCACACACGTACACACGCACGAAAACAACAGGATGTTTATCACGTACATTGTGACCTATGATGTCATTTTGGAACGCATCACAAACACACGTGCGTCATCAGCGCCATTAAAAATTTCCCCAAACGCTCCTAGACGGATTCCACGAGCTGCAAACGCCACAGCAATTCGTGGGCGGCGACAGGGCCTCACAGGGCCAGGCTACGCAACGTTGCTGTAGTAATGCCAGCAGTTCATTTTCGAGTCGTCCTGGCATCTTATGTTTAGTGATTGTGAGCGACATAGGTGGTGGAGGTACGTGAGTGTCGGCGGGCATACCTTGGTTTGTCTGGTATCTGGGTGGCACCATTCCTGCAGGATGACTCGGCATGCCCATCAGGGACGGGGCCGTGCCCATTAAAGATCTGGGCCCGCCCTGCCTGCAAAGTAAACATCGGCTGATAAAGGGTGACTAGAATTCCTCCGCGGTCAATTCACGTCCACTCAATGTCCGGCGCGGGTGAGCGTCGAGTCTGACTAAGTCAACACGACACGAACGCGTGAGAAATGTATCGAAAAGCTATGCCAATAAAATCTGTAACGCTTGCTGTTTAATTGTGTGACGCGACAAAAGGTGCTCTGTAAATGGATGAACATGATCTTGTATGCAAAAACTAACAAAGTTTGTTTGTTACGGGTGACACTACTGTGGGAGAGTAGACTCACACACTGACACGTAGGTACGTAATAATGTGAAGATACTAAACGTTAATTACCGGAAGAATAATAACACCACGAAAATTAAAAATAGGTGTCGTTTAAATATTTAAATGGCCATCGTACTCAGGTTTGCAAAGCAGGCTGCATGCAACTCTACAACACCGTGAAATTCTCAGCTCGTTTCCACAGTAACGTACCCATTGGAATGAAAGTGTCAATGACACTATAGCTCACACTGGGTGTGATAGAAGATGGTAAGTGTTTCATTTATGACGGACCAAAATGTGATCAAATGTCCTTATTCCCCGTTTTATACTAATAGAAATGTCACAGTTTTGTTTCAGGGTTAGTTTTGATGCAAAAATAAACGTTTCAGATCTGAAAGTCTGAAATCTGGGCGAGAGATGGCGCTACGTCTAAATGATCGCCATTTTGGTTTTCGATTATCGCGCAAATAAAAACAATAAAATATTCCAGTCAAATTACTGTAACGAAAAATATAAAACTAGGTATTACACATAGGTATGATTAGGTAGGTGTGTAGGTAGGTAGGTAGGCAAATTTAACAAAATCGAATGAATCTAGATGGCCATTTTCATTTTTGCCAAAAAGTGAACGTGGCTCCAAAGTAGGTCGACTGGCGTGCTCCAAAATAGGACGTTCAAATCTCTCCCATAGGAGTAACAACTGTATGCAATTTGAAACATGTGGGTCAAACGGTGCTTGAGTTATCGTTGACCGTAGCCAAATGTTGACGGACAGACAGACGGACGGACGTACGACGGACGACACACCTTGGCAATAGCTCATCTTGACGATGTCAAGGTGAGCTAAAAATTGTGCAAACTAACTGCCACACAGCAATAATAATCAAAGAAAGGAGAGCTAACATACGTACTAGCATAATTTCCCAGGCCTGACATTCCAAGCAGTAAAACGAGCATTCTGCCAACTACCACGATATACCCAAAACCCATATAAATTGGAATCGACCTCTGCGTGAAAATTCGGTTGGACAGAAAGCATTCTTGAGAGATTCGGACGTCCGTTGCGAAAATCGCGAAAGAAATTGCATGCGTAAGTTAATCTCGCTTTCAAGTAAAATCGGGCTTTTTCGAGCGAAATTGAAACTCCTTTTCTATGCCAACAATATTACCATAGATACGAAACGAAGCCTATCCTCACAGAAATTGTCACGCCCGCAGTATTACAATATCGCAAAACAGTAAGAGGCCATCAAATAAATTCAGAGCAAAGAGTCCAGCGCGGCGGTAAACACAAGTCTGTCTTCCGACTGGCGCCATATTGAAATTTATTTTGGGTGATCATGAGCAGAGAAATCATTCTTATAGTCATACTATAGGGAATAAATAATTGGCAATAATAATAATAGTAATGACGGGTAATAATAGGTAATAATAGGTAATCCTGTTATTTACTCCTAATATTATCAGCGACGTTTGGTGAAATCGGATTCGATTTATTTACCACACTATATATATATATATCCGTTCTACGACAATGCACCATGCGATGCGCACTTAGACTCACTCAATCAAATATAACGCGTGTATATAATATATCGCTCAAAAATCGCCAAAAAAAATCGTCTATTTTAAGTCAGAAACCGCTATCACGCGAATTTCGTCATCACGAAGAACATCCCGTTATTTTTTTATATAATACAACAACACTCGCAGTAACTACATCTACTAGTAGTCGGTTAATAGGGTGCTCTAAAGGCGCGCTCTGCACCACAGCATGCCATCTGCGCTCTGTTTCCTCTAATTCGAGGTATACGGCTCGCAACGTTTCGTCGGAAAATACATGAAGATTTTCAGCAAGTTTTCACCGAGAGCACACGAAAAACGTGCGCGCCGAGAGCAACTGTCACTTAGTCGCATATAGAAATCGCGGAAATCCCGTTTAACCATCTGAATGCTGCACGTATGCAGTCGTGCTTTGCTTATATCCGTCACAACACCCCTCTCTGCAGGGCGATGCACCACACGACTCGGCCACAACACACGAGGAAGGGGAGGGAGAGCTAGTGGTAGAAGACGATGAAAAATATGACGAAGATAATAAAATAAAAAAAGAAGAAAAAGATGATGATGATGATGATGATGATGAAGAAGGAAAAGATGATGATGATGATAAGGAAGAAGAACAGCTGGAGCAGGAGTAGGAAGAGGAGGAGGAGGAAGAGCAAGAGGAGCAGGAGGAGGAGACTGCCAAAGCCCACATCAAACGCCAACTCCATGAAGGGTGGAGAGATCTCAGATCTCAAACAGGAGGACCTCTTCTTCAATAAGGTCACAACAGCAAGACCCAAAGAAATCCCTAAAACGATGGCGAGATCAGACGAGGTTCTCGTCCAACAGCTACGAACTGGAAAGTCACCCATGGCTGCCCATTGCTTAGCCAGATACAAAACCCTACCTGACGATAATGGGAAGTTTCTGGCGGGGTGTGATGAAAAAGAGACAGTGGAACACCTACTATGCTGTCCGATATACGGAAAACAACGAAATGAAGTGTGTGACTCAAAATACATCTTAGAGCTTCTCAATGACGACCCCACCAAAGTGCTAAAGTTCCTCGAGAGAATAGGCCGCCTGGCCGCACCTGAGCTGTGACGCTCCGCATCACAGCCACTGGGAGAGCAGACTACAGAGAGAGAGAGAAAGAGAGAGGAGGAGGAGGAGGAGGAGGAGGAGACGGAGGAGGCGGAGGAAGAGAACAAGATGGTGACGACGAATAAGGCGGCGAAATACGTAAGAAGACAAAGAGAAAAAAGAAGAAGAAAATGAAGATGAAGAAAAGGAGCAAGAAAAAAAAGAAAAGAAGACGACGACTAAGACGAAGAAATATTTAGTGACGACCGTCTCTTGAGAACGCCGCCAGCGTCAGCCAAACGGCAATCCGTCCTCGCGGCGAATCTCGCAAACCGCCGTGACAGGTGCCTTTTTATCCCCGCCACTCGAACGCACGGCGAGTAGACGCGCTTTGTTGTGCAGCCACTGCGCTAGCTCCCCCTCCTCCTCCTTTTCCTCCTCCCGTCCACCCTCCTCCCCCCTCCTCCTCCTTTTCCTCCTCCCGTCCACCCTCCTTCTTTCCCCCTCCTCCTCATCCTCCTCCTTTTCCTCGTCCTGTTCACCCTTCTTTCCCCTTATCCTCCTCCTTTTCCTCCTCCCGTCCACCCTCCTTCCCCCTCTCCTCCTCCTTTTCCTCCTCCTCCTCCTTTTCCTCCTCCCGTCCACCCTCCTTCTTCCCCCTCCTCCTCCTCCTCCTCCTTTTCCTCCTCCCGTCCACCCTCCTCCTCCTCCTCCTCCTCCTCCTCCTTTTCCTCCTCCCGTCCAACCTCCTCCTTTTCCTCCTCCCGTCCACCCTCCTTCTTCCTAGTAGTCTTCTAGTAGGACTGCTATTATTAAATTTGGCGGTCGTACTCACGGGTTGCTGCTAGAGCTTCCTCGATCCCACTGGTTTCCGTAATCTGCAAGAAAACAAGAGAACGTTATGATGCGGGCCGCCGCTACGCGCGCTGTCATCGCCGCCACCCTAACCGCCGCCGCCGGCGCCGCGTGGTGGGGATTTCGAGCGCGATATGTAATATAAGTATAAGAGACAGGTGCAGCATAATGTGCGCTCGGGACGGGAGGGGGGGGGTGACGGATATGCAGGCAAACGGTAAACGAGAGTCCTGCGCCTCGGTTCTCATGGCACGGTAAGATGAAGCGACCTTTTCATCGGCTCAGTGACAATTACCGTCAGCCTACACTGACCTGCCCAGACGGGCATGAGCAGAGGGGAATGAGCGGGGGGGGAAGGGGCGAAATCCACCCGCCCGCTGATGCCACACGCCGAGCGAAAGGAAACATTCAACAGAACTGAGCAAATAGATTCCACCTCACCCCTCCACCGCGCTGCACGAACTCAGCGAGTCTTCTTGGGGGTAGTTAAACACGGCCAAGCTGATTATATCTGCCTGCGCAAAGTATTAGGTCTGGACCTGACAAGCATTTACCATATTTGTATTAGCCATCAATGCCAAATGCTAGCTAATCTGGCAGCGCTTTATTCTCATTTTTGCACGGCACAATGACGGCAGGGCGCTCTCGCGCTGCCATTCAGCCGCATGTCACAAGGAAAACAGGCGAGAAGAAAGGACAGCGCGCGCAATAATCAGGAACTCCCGCGCGCACAAAACCCGCCTTTTAAGAATAAACACTTGACTGAAAATTAAACGTTAACTGCGGTAATTAAACGGCTTAAGAAAGTTTTGTTCGCGCGGACGGCCCGAGACGAGCGACAAGCACAGCACGCGCTCCGCCAACGGCTGCTCCGCGTGACCCCCCGCACACACACACACGCACGCATGCACACACACACGCACGCACGCACGCACATACACGCGCATGCACACACACACACGCACGCACGCACACACACACACACACACACACACACACGCATGAACGCATACATATACACGTGCATGCACACACGCACACGCATATACGCGCACGCATACACGTACACACACACACACACACGCACGCACGCACGCACGCACGCACGCACGCACACACACACACACACACGGTCGCATGCTCCTCTCCCTAACAATTAAAAACAACCCTGAGTCACTGGCGATGCCATTTTTACAAGACATGTGTCTTCCGCAGACGCGCTAGTATGGAACATCACTCAGAACACTAATGAACGTCAGGGACATCACCCTGAACATCAAGCTCAGGAATACTGGCCTTGAACATATATGAACATCGGTACCATCACCCGAACACATATGAACACCAAGAACATCGCCCGAACACATGTGAACATCCGGAACAACCCCAATAACAAATATGAACATCAAGAACATTTCCCTGAACATATATGAACATCACGAACACCAAAATAAACATCTACATACGCTCGTAGGGTTACTCTGTATAAATAAGTTAGGAACCTCGCTATGTACACAAGTACGAAGAACATAATATAGAAACGTCAATATGCGCTGATCTCCATGGAACGTTAGGAAAACGCAAAGAAAAGCAAATTCTTGTAATTTCCACTTGTCAGCAAATTGCTATCATTGCAATCGAAATAATCATTTAACATTAACGACAAGTTTGCTTTAGTTCATCGAGAATACATGCCCGTGGTTAGAGTAAAACAAAGTAGTGTACTTGCACCATGCAGAGAGAACTAAACAGATGCTATGATTGAAAACCTGCCATAATGATGAGAGGCGTGAAAGCACTGTCCACGAATCACGCGACAGTAGCAGCTTACGAACCTCAGCTGTGGATGGTCCGAGAAAATCCACATAATGAATAAGTAATTCCATCTAATTGGCGTGACTGTGTTTGTTAAGCGCTTGCACAGTTTAATGACTTGTTTGGTTTATTGTTTAAGGCCATCTGTGGCAAGGCGAACTCACACCACTTCATATACACACGTATTGTTGCCTACCGCGTCTAATTGGTGTATCAATAAAGGGGAGGGAGAGGGAGGGCCAGTACACACCCTAAAGACCCGATAACGCCCTGAATGGGGATTAGTACGTTCTCCGAGGACTTCTCCACCACTTTTGTTCCCGCGTTGTGTAACAAATTGTGCGGGCCTCTCACCTCGCCGCTATTCTAGCGCCCAGCGGCAGCGCCGACGCACTGGGCAGCAGATGCAAACTTGCCAAGTACCCTCTCTCCGTTGATGAGTGCCCCATCGCCTCTCGGCCCGCGAACACACACGACCGCCACTCACCCACGCTGCGCGTGCTTGTCTACACCTCAATCGGACCCCGCTTTTGCGCGCATACGCGCACTAAATCGGAGACAATTATCACCGCACAACGGGGATGACCGACGGCTATTTCGCCCTGGTCCGGCTGCTGCACAGAAACGTGCGCATCGAGCGGCGGCAGATCAAGAGCCCTCACTTGACGCACCGCTCCGTTTGAGTAAGGGCCCTCGCTAAAGTTTTCTTGCTTGCTCGGAGCACCTCTGATGGGACGCGCGCACACTCGGCAACACGCGTGCGTCACTTGCATGCGCGCTACGACCGACTCGCGCTTTAACTGATTCTTACGTAGTCGCTTTATCGGTCAGTCATCGTCACACTCACCTACCTGTTTACCTGTACTGCGTCTTATATAATTACCTTTACCCTATCTGACAATAACCAGCGCGAGGACATGACATTTGCATCATTCGACTAACGAACAGGGACGACCGAGGGGTGTTCATTTAGGAAATGAAACAGAAGAATCCTCTCGTCTACATACACAACATGTTCTGCTTGCATCTATGACAAATACGACATACGCATATACGCTCTCCTATGACACTATTTGTCATAGGAAGATTCTTCCTATGACAAATACGACATACGCATATACGCTCTCCTATGACACTATTTGTCATAGGAAGATTCTTCCTATGACAAATATTGGCGAGTCAACTTCGTTCTGCTTTGCAGCTGAAATTCACTGCTTGCGTTCATAATAGCGCTCCTAAACTCGCTATGCCCACAACACATACAACAATATTTGTCATAGGAAAAATCTTCCTATGACAAATAGTGTCATAGGAGAGCGTATATGCGTATGTCGTATTTGTCATAGATGCTAGCAGAACAGGCTGACATACATCAGTATGGTACTAGAACGTTTACGTGGAATAAACGCTCTCACATACCCAACCTGAGACATCTGGGCGAATACGCGCGGCTGTATATGCTATTAGGAAAGTGAATACAATGGGCTTCTCTTTGCATTCGGATGTTAGTCGGCTGGAGACCGGCGAGGAGCGAATCATCTCGACTTTTGTCGATTATTGGATATTATTAACTAGTTGTAAATAGCTGTTCGTCTATATCTAGTCTGCGAGTGACCGACAAGCGGATGTTATAAGGTGGAGTCGCGCGGTGGCGTCTCATGCTATAAGACTTTGCAGTGGTCATTTATCACTTGCAAGGTTTCGTAGCCTGCCAATTGCCAGAGAGAAGAGAGAGAGAGAGTGTGCGTGCGTGGCGTGCGTGCGTTGCGTGCGTGTGTGTGGGTGTGCGTGCGTGCGTGCTTTGTCTGTGTGTTGCGTTGCGTGCGCGTGTGTTGTGTGTGGTGTGTGCTGCGTGCAATGCGTGGTGTGTGTGTGTCGCGGTGTGTGTGAGTGTGGTGTGTGTGTTGTGTGTGTGTGTGTGGCTGTGCGTGGCGTGCCGGTGCTTGTCTGTGTGTGCGTGGTGTGCTGTGTGTGTGTTGTTGTGGTGTGTGTGTGTGTGTTGTTGTGTTGTGGTGTATGTGTTGTATGTGTGTCGTGCGTGTGTGTGTGTTGCTGTGTGTGTGTGTGCGCAGCGCAGCGTGGCTTCGTTATGTGTGGTGCAGTGTGATGTGTGCGCCGCGCGGCCGGTGCTTGGTAATGTTGTGTGCGTTTCGTGGCGTGGGTGGTTGTGAGAGAGAGAAGAGGCGTGGAGAGAGAGAGGAGAAGAGAGAGAGTAGTAGAGAGAGAGAGAGAAGAGAGAGAGAGAGTAGAGAGAGAGGAGTGAGAGAGAGAGTAGAGAGAGTATGAAGATAGTAGAAGAGAGAAGAGCGAGACGCGCGCGCGAAAGAGTAGCAGAGGCACGAGAATAATATTAAAGAAGCAGCAGTGAAATCTCGTCAGTGATGCGAGCTGCGAAGCCTAGCCATCGACGAGTCTCCTCCCTATAGCGAAAAGTCGCGCTCTCACACACGGCAAGTTATTTAACACCCTCCGACCCACGCTTAATGAAATTCTAAACCTCCATTTATTAGATACGCCGCATCGTACACGAACACATACACCCAACCCCGTCACCGCGTTACCGGCGTCACCCGTCACCGTCACGAACGCCAACCGACGTCACCGCCGTCGCTTGTCGCCACCCTCGCCGACTGACGACGACAACGACGTCTAACACCCTACATACTGATGAGCACGATAGTACTGATGAGAGAACACGGCCGCGACGTGAGCGCTCGTTCCGAACAGCGTGCGCACAGCTCACTTACGATCTAAGTTCCGCGACAAAAATCCTGTAAGAGAGCGGAGCGTAGGCAGTAGGCGAAATGTCAGACCGATGAGGACGGGTGGGAAGAACAAGGCGGACCCCCTGCGACGCGGTGCAGCCGCCGGGTTGTTGATGTTTATGCTCACTCGCTATGCTAACGGCGCGTCCGTTCGCCCGACTGGAACGCATCGCAAAAGGCCACCGTCGTGCCAACGGCTGCGCGATATATATGATTATACCTGTGCGTCGCTTGGCCGGACGCACGATGCCCCATTTGGTGGCGATCTCGTCGCACGGGGGACAGATGCGAATGCACTTGTGGTTTGTTTTCACTGTGCGCTGATGTAATGCGGCTGGCCGGCGGGCGGCTTGCTCGCTCACGGAACAACACAGCAGTCCGCGCCGCCTCCGCAGCAGCAGTCAAGCGGATCGGGCCGACCCCCTCCGAAGGTCAACCGCGTG